CGCCCAACACAACCTATACTTCAAATACAAAGAGATTAAAGGACAACAACAACCAATAAGTAATGACAGGATCCTCGGAACCTAAGTCCGGATACAATAATTTAAAGAGAAAAGACCGGGGTCGCTATATCCACTAATAGTCCAAAATAGATATTTCTAAATAGATATAAAATCTCCAATACAGATAAACTTTCCAAAATTCAAGATGTGAGTGATAATAGATTTCCAACTCCACCATCCATACCAATATCCATCTAATTTCACATTTCCAACATCAATTCCATTTATTTATAGAAAATAAATATTTGAGACGTTTAGGACAAAATCCCTTTTCTTCCAAAATGTATTCCAAGTATCAAAATCAACAATTTTATCACAACTCAACCTTATTTCCACTCACACAACCATTTTCAATAACTCCATTTGAAAACCTCTCTTTTGATTTTAAACCAAAAGCCTAGGTTTGCTCAAAATTTCTCCAAAATCACAAGATTGTTTTATAAAAACAAATAGCGAAGTTAAAAATCATAAATGAGTGTAGAAAATCCCTACCTCGAAGTTAGAAGACCAAGGAGAGAGTGGAGAAACCTCAAGGAAGCCGAAATCTAACTCTATTCGGATGAAAACGAAGCTCTGGGTGAGCTCTACCTTTTTAACAATGGGAGTGGAGTGGAGAACAGGGTAGATCTTGGTGTATTTGCAGAGAGAGTAAGTTCTAGAGAGAGATGCACTAGATTTAGGGTTTTGAAATGTTTTAGAGAGAGATGAAAAAGTGTTGTAAAAAGTGAAATTTATGGACTGATATACGCACAACCCGCTCGAGCGTCTAGACACAAAAATAATTACCGCTTGAGCTCAAGAAGGGAAGCTCGATTGTAGAATACACACTCCCAGTAGTTTTACAAACAAAAAGCCAACGCTTGATCGCAGTAAAGGCCGCTTCAGCCAAGACCGCTCGAGCGCAAAAAGTTCCGCTTGAGCATAGAATATCACTTCCCAGTAGTCTTGCAGACTTGCAAAAGTACTGTGAGTTCACAAAGCCCGCTCGAGCGTAAGAAGTGATGCTTGAGCAAAGGAGCAAAATTCTGTACAACAAAAGTTTGAAAACCAAGCTACCAACCTGTTCCAAACCTAGCCAATACAACTCAATAGCCAAACTCAAGGAGGTATAAGGAAAATAAGACATGAACAATAATACAAAACTATGAAACCTGAATCCAGAGTATCAAATAGGTCGGGTCTTAAACTAGAATCGTTATAGTCTAACATAATAGAGATATGGATTTGAAAGATATCCAGGTTTCTATTATTGAGAAATTGGTACATGTGGTTCAGTTCAATATGCTCCTATGACTGCAAAATCGAAAAACATACAATGTATATAATTGTCCAAAGATGAAAGCGATAGTCACGGAAAAAGAAAAAGAAAAAGGAACCACCAGTAATGATATCATCGTGTTCTCTCAACTAACAACTCTAATCTTTCGGAGTTGGCGAGCCTTAAAAGTTTTACACGTGCCACAAGATCGGAAGCACAACCATTGTTCAACCACCAGGTTTGATTTTCCTAATTTATTTTTCACCCTCAATGGGAAAGCTGCACCAAAAAAAAAAAAATAAAATTCCTTTTCAATTACAATTTTAAATTTGAAACTTATTGAATATTCTCTTTCTATCCAAATCCAAATAAAAGTAAAATAATTTGAAGTGGACATGCTAGGGGCCTACGATGGAAATTACAATATTACCCAAACAAAAATATGTATGAATTCTAAATTTAACACTATATTTTATTATATGATCTTATATGATATTTGTATATTAATGAATGAATCTTAATATGATTATTTGGCTAAAATATGTCCAAAATTAATTTGCCTAATCTTGGTTTGGGTTCCTTAAAAAAATATTAAATATTGGATATCATACTGGATATCATATTTCGAGTTCAAATAATTTGATTTTTTACCATCTTAACTTAAATAGATATGCCAAGAAAATGAATATTAAATTAAATAAGAAACTATCAATTATAAAAAATTATCAAGGCACCTGGTGAATTTTAAAAAAAATTTTCTCCTTTTCGTAGTCTAATACTCTAGCTCACTAATCATTACAATTACGAGCTGATATATCATCCTATATGTCATCTATGTGAAAATCTACACATACATAGAACCACGAAAATTATTTAGGCAAACAGAAATATCTGAATGATGAAAAACTAATTTGAACAGGTCATAACAAAGTGCATAGTAATAATTAAGCAATATAATAAATATTTGAAAAGAATATGGAGATATGCAATTATAAATTTGCTTGTCTATTGCTTTTCATTTCCATTCATGCATGATCAGAGCACGCATTTGGAAACTGTTACAATTATTAATTGTTGCTTATCCACAATTTTGTAACAGTCACTAACTACATGTGTTGTAAATTACTTTACAGGTTGCTTTCCCTGTCTTGGAGAATTTGGTAATTTGGAATTTGCCTAACATAATAGAGATATGGGAGAAGCGATTACTCATTGCCTCAGAAAACGAATCAAAGTCTTGCCGGCTGAAAGATATGAGGGTTTCTAATTGTGAGAAATTGGTTCATGTGGTTTGGTTCAATATGCTCCCACGACTGCAAAATCTCAAAAAATTCAACGTGTATAATTGTCCAAGGATGGAAGCGATAGTCTGGGATAAAGAAAAAGAAGAAGGAACCACCAGGAATGATATCATCGTGTTCTCTCAATTATCAACTCTTAATCTTTTTGAGTTGGTGAGCCTTAAAAGTTTCTACAATTGGCCTACAAGATCTGAAGCATAACCCTTGTTCAACCACCAGGTTTGATTTTCCTAATTTATTTTATTAATCCTGTCCATGAGAAAGTGTGCACCCAAAAAAAAAAAAAAACATTAAAATTCCTTTTCAATTACCATTTTAAATTTGAAACTTATTTGAATATTCTCTTTCTATCCAAATCCAAATAAAAGTAAAATAATTTGAAGGTGGACATGCTAGGGGCCTACGATGGAAATTACAATATTACCCAAACAAAAATATGAATGAATTCTAAAATTAACACTATATTTTTATTTTTAATATGAATCTTAATATGATTTTATTTGGCTAAAATTATGTCCAAAATTGTAATTTGCCTAACCTTGGTTTGGGGTTCCTTAAAAAATTATTTAAATATTGGATATCATACTGGATATCATATTTCGAGTTCAAATAATTTGATTTGTTTTACCATCTTAACTTAAAAAGATATGCCAAGAAAATGAATATTAAATTAAATAAGAAACTATCAATACAAAAAATTATCATGGCACCGTGGTGCATTTTTAAAATAAAATTTTCTTCATTTTCGTAGGTCTAATACTCAGATCTACAGTATAATTTGCCTTATCAAAAAAATAACAAATAAGATTAAGGAACACAAATTATTTAAGGCAAATAGAAAAATAATGATGAATGATGGAAAACAATGTGAAGAGGTCATAACAAAAAGGTGCATAGTTAATAATTAAGCAATATAATAAATATTTGAAAAGAATATGGAGATATGCAATTAAAAATTTGCTTGTCTATTGCTTTTCATTTCCACTCATGCATGATCAGAGCACGCATTTGGAAACTGTTACAATTATCAATTGTTGCATATCCATAATTTTGTAACAGTCACTAACTACAAGTGTTGAAAATTACTTTACAGGTTGCTTTCCCCGTCTTGGAGAATTTGAAAATTTTGAAATTGCCTAACATAATAGAGATATGGGAGAGGCGATTACTCATAGCCTCAGAAAACGAATCAAAGTCCTGCCGACTGAAAGATTTGGAGGTTTCTAATTGTGAGAAATTGGTTCATGTGGTTCGGTTCAATATGCTCCCGCGATTGTAAAAAGTGGAAAGATTCGAGGTAGACAATTGTCCAAAGATGGAAGCAATAGTCGCGGAGAAAGAAAAAGAAACAGGAACCACCAGTAATGATATCATCGTGTTCTCTCAACTAACAACTCTTAAACTTTCCAAGTTGGTGAGCCTTAAAAGTTTCTACAACTGGCCTACAAGATTTGAAGCACAACCCTTGTTCAACCACCAGGTTTGATTTTCCTAATTTATTTTATTAACCCTGTCCATGAGAAAGTGTGCACCCCAAAAAAAAAAAATTAAAATTCCTTTTCAATTACAATTCTAAATTTGAAACTTATTTGAATATTCTCTTTCTATCCAAATCCAAATAAAAGTAAAATAATTTGAAGGTGGACATGCTAGGGGCCTACGATGGAAATTACAATATTACCCAAACAAAAATATGTATGAATTCTAAATTTAACACTATATTTTTATTTTGAATATGAATCTTAATATGATTTTATTTGGCTAAAATTATGTCAAAAATTGTAATTTGCCTAATCTTGGTTTGGGGTTCCTTAAAAAAATAACCAAAATCCTGGACAGCAACACTTGGTTTCTAAACCCAACCAACCTGAAACAAACCTGCCCAACACATCCTATAATTCCAAAAGAGAAAATAAAGGACAACAACAACAATTATACAATGACAGAATCTACGGAACCTATGTCCGAATACAATAATCAAATGGGAAAAGACCGGGGTCGCTATATCTAATACTCAGATCTACAGTATAATTTGCCTTATCAAAAAAATAACAAATAAGATTAAGGAACACAAATTATTTAAGTCAAATAGAAAAATAATGATGAATGATGGAAAACAATGTGAAGAGGTCATAACAAAAAGGTGCATGGTTAATAATTAAGCAATATAATAAATATTGGAAAAGAATATGGAGATATGCAATTATAAATTTGCTTGTCTATTGCTTTTCATTTCCACTCATGCATGATCAGAGACACATTTGGAAACTGTTACAATTATCAATTGTTGCTTATCAACAATTTTGTAACAGCCACTAACTACAAGTGTTGTAAATTATTGTACAGGTTGCTTTCCTCGTCTTGGAGAATTTGGTAATTTCGAAATTGCCTAACATAATAGAGATATGGGAGAAGCGATTACTCATAGCCTCAGAAAACGAATCAAAGTCCTGCCGCCTGAAAGTTTTGTTGGTTTATAATTGTGAAAAATTGGTTCATGTGGTTCGGTTCAATATGCTCCCGCGATTGCAAAATCTGGAAAGATTCGAGGTAGACAATTGTCCAAAGATGGAAGCAATAGTCGCGGAGAAAGAAAAAGAAACAGGAACCACCAGTAATGATATCATCGTGTTCTCTCAATTAACAACTATTAGTCTTTTCGAGTTGGTGAGCCTTAAAAGTTTCTACAACTGGCCTACAAGATTTGAAGCACAACCCTTGTTCAACCACCAGGTTTGATTTTCCTAATTTATTTTATTAACCCTGTCCATGAGAAAGTGTGCACCCAAAAAAAAAAAAATTAAAATTCCTTTTCAATTACAATTTTAAATTTGAAACTTATTTGAATATTCTCTTTCTATCCAAATCCATATAAAAGTAAAATAATTTGAAGGTGGACATGCTAGGGGCCTACGATGGAAATTACAATATTACCCAAACAAAATATGAATGAATTCTAAATTTAACACTATATTTTTATTTTGAATATGAATCTTAATATGATTTTATTTGGCTAAAATTATGTCCAAAATTGTAATTTTCCTAATCTTGGTTTGGGGTTCCTTAAAAAATTATTTAAATATTGGATATCATACTGGATATCATATTTCGAGTTCAAATAATTTGATTTGTTTTACCATCTTAACGTAAATAGATATGCCAAGAAAATGAATATTAAATTAAATAAGAAACTATCAATATAAAAAATTATCAAGGCACCATGGTGAAGTTTTAAAATAAATTTTTCTTCCTTTTCGTAGGTCTAATACTCAGATCTACAGTATAATTTGCGTTATCAAAAAAATAACAAATAAGATTAAGGAGCACAAATTATTTAAGGCAAATAGAAAAATAATGATGAATGATGGAAAACAATGTGAAGAGGTCATAACAAAAGGGTGCATGGTTAATAATTAAGCAATATAATAAATATTTGAAAAGAATATGGAGATATGCAATTATAAATTTGCTTGTCTATTGCTTTTCATTTCCACTCATGCATGATCAGAGCACACATTTGGAAACTGTTACAATTATCAATTGTTGCTTATCAACAATTTTGTAACAGTCACAAACTACAAGTGTTGTAAATTATTGTACAGGTTGCTTTCCCCGTCTTGGAGAATTTGGTAATTTTGAAATTGCCTAACATAATAGAGATATGGGAGAAGCGATTACTCATAGCCTCAGAAAACGAATCAAAGTCCTGCCGCCTGAAAGTTTTGTTGGTTTATAATTGTGAGAAATTGGTTCATGTGGTTCGGTTCAATATGCTCCCGCGATTGCAAAATTTGGAAAGATTCGAGGTAGACAATTGTCCAAAGATGGAAACAATAGTCGCGGAGAAAGAAAAAGAAACAGGAACCACTAGTAATGATATCATCGTGTTCTCTCAACTAACAACTCTTAGACTTTCCGAGTTGGTGAGCCTTAAAAGTTTCTACAACTGGCCTACAAGATTTGAAGCACAACCCTTGTTCAACCACCAGGTTTGATTTTCCTATTTTATTTTATTAACCCTGTCCATGAGAAAGTGTGCACCCAAAAAAAAAAAAATTAAAATTCCTTTTAAATTACAATTCTAAATTTGAAACTTATTTGAATATTCTCTTTCTATCCAAATCCAAATAAAAGTAAAATAATTTGAAGGTGGACATGCTAGGGGCCTACGATGGAAATTACAATATTACCCAAACAAAAATATGTATGAATTCTAAATTTAACACTATATTTTTATTTTGAATATGAATCTTAATATGATTTTATTTGGCTAAAATTATGTCCAAAATTGTAATTTGCCTAATCTTGGTTTGGGGTTCCTTAAAAAAATATTTAAATATTGGATATCATACTGGATGTCATATTTCGAGTTCAAATAATTTGATTTGTTTCACCATCTTAACTTAAATAGATATGCCAAGAAAATGAATATTAAATTAAATAAGAAACTATCAGTATAAAAAATTATCAAGGCACCGTGGTGAAGTTTTAAAATAAAATTTTCTTCCTTTTCGTAGGTCTAATACTCAGATCTACAGTATAATTTGCCTTATCAAAAAAATAACAAATAACATTAAGGAACACAAATTATTTAAGGCAAATAGAAAAATAATGATGAATGATGGAAAACAATGTGAAGAGGTCATAACAAAAAGGTGCATGGTTAATAATTAAGCAATATAATAAATATTTGAAAAGAAGATGGAGAGATGCAATTATAAATTTGCTTGTCTATTGCTTTTCATTTCCACTCATGCATGATCAGAGCACACATTTGGAAACTGTTACAATTATCAATTGTTGCTTATCAACAATTTTGTAACAGTCACTAACTACAAGTGTTGTAAATTATTGTACAGGTTGCTTTCCCCGTCTTGGAGAATTTGGTAATTTCGAAATTGCCTAACATAATAGAGATATGGGAGAAGCGATTACTCATAACCTCAGAAAACGAATCAAAGTCTTGCCGACTTGAAGATTTGGAGGTTTCTAATTGTAAGAAATTGGTTTATGTGGTTCGGTTCAATATGCTCCCGCGATTGCAAAATCTGGAAAGATTCAAGGTTAACAATTGTCCAGAGATGGAAGCAATAGTCGCGGTGAAAGAAATAGAAACAGGAACCACCAGTAATGATATCATCGTGTTCTCTCAACTAGCAACTCTTAGACTTTCCGAGTTGGTGAGCCTTAAAAGTTTCTACAACTGGCCTACAAGATTTGAAGCACAACCCTTGTTCAACCACCAGGTTTGATTTTCCTAATTTATTTTATTAATCCTGTCCACGAGAAAGTGTGCACCCAAAAAAAAAATAAATTAAAATTCCTTTTCTATTACAATTTTAAATTTGAAACTTATTTGAATATTCTCTTTCTATCCAAATCCAAATAAAAGTAAAATAATTTGAAGGTGGACATGCTAGGGGCCTACGATGGAAATTACAATATTACCTAAACAAAAATATGTATGAATTCTAAATTTAACACTATATTTTTATTTTGAATATGAATCTTAATATGATTTTATTTGGCTAAAATTTTGTCCAAAATTGTAATTTGCTTAATCTTGATTTGGAGTTCATTAAAAAATTATTTACATTTTAGATATGTAAAGAAATATTTAAATATTGGATATCATATTTCGAGTTCAAATAATTTGATTTGTTTTACCATCTTAACTTAAATAGAAATGCCCAAAAAATGAGTATTAAATAGATATGCCTAGAAAATGATGATAAACTAAATAAGAAATTAACTATAACGATTCTAGTTTAGACCTGACCCGTTTATAGTTTGGATCCGGGATTGTTATTCTTGAATAGTTGTTCATATCTTCATTCATTCTATTTCTTGTTGAGTTTGGTTGTTTGGATGTTGTTATTGCGTTTGGAGTTGGTTGGAAGTTGTTTTTTTTCAATAGAACTGTTGGCCAGATTTTGGTCAGTATCTCGAGCGGTGCTTTGTTCGCTTGAGCTGTCTTTGAGAACTTCCCGTATTAGTCTGCAAAGATACTGGGAGGGTAGTGTTCGTTGCTCGAGCGGTGTTTGTTACACTCGAGCGGTCTTGGCTCAAGCGATCCTTCTTGTTAGGTCCCTGAGTCTTGTCAATCCCGCGAATAAACTTATGTGATTGAGTTTTAAATTTCTGTGCTGTTTTGTCTTGCTCACTCGAGTGAAAGAGTCCTCGCTGGAGCGAAGACTGGGTTTGGCAAAAACCTGAAAGGGATGAATGTGCGCTTGAGCAAAGCTTGCGTGGCTTGAGCAAAGAAGTGCGTCTGCATAAAAACCAGAAAAAGTTGATTGTACGCTCGAGCATAGGTTGCGTGGCTCGTGCGAAGCCACTTATAGAAATCACGCGAGATAAGGTTCTCGCTCGAGCGAGAGTAGCTTCGCTCGAGCGAGCTTCACAGTCCAAGATTTCTATAAGTATTTGTTTTACTCCAAAACTAGGATTAGGTTTTTTAGATCTACTTTGAGGTTTTCTAAGGTTTTCTTTTGGAGTATTTTTGTGAGTTTTCCTTGTTAAATTGAGTGAGTATTAAACTCATGAATTGACAAGCACATATCAAGGAGATTGATTGAATACATACAAGAGTGTTATTCTTCGGTGGATTCCGAAGATTCAAATGTGGAGTTTCAAAAGAGTTTGATTCTGTACGTAGTCGTTGATTCGACAAGTGAAGTTGTGGATTCAAACTTCAGATTAATCAGTTCCAAAACGAAGGCTTGGTGAAAGAGTTACAGAAGGTTTGAAGACAAATTGACTGAGTTGGGTAATTTGTGTGTTATCTTTGTAATCTTTCTTTCTTCAGTAGTGGAATGATTAGTGGCGTTTCACCCGTGATTTTTAATTACAATTGAAGGTTCTTCAATTGTGGTTTTTCCATGTAAAAATCGTTTGTGTCGATTTATTGTTTATTCCGAAAACAACAGTCTAAATCACTTTCGTAAGTGTTTGATGATTTAGATTGCGTGTTTTGAATAATTGGGAATTGAAATATTTTAATCTTGATCTAATCACGAATCACTTAGGATTTTCAATTGGTATCAGAGCAGGTCACTCTTTGTTTTTATCAAAACTTTAGGAGTGTGATTTTTTTGTGACTAGTGATATGGATTCAATTCACGAAGGTTACTCGACCCATAAACCTCCTTTACTCGACGGTACAAACTATTCTTATTTGAAAGCTCGTATGAGAGCATTTTTAAAATTCATCGATGAGAAAGTTTGGCATTGCGTGATCTATGGGTGGAGTGAACCTACTGTCACAATTGATGGTATTGATATTCCTAAACCCCTTGATAAATGGGACACAACCGATTACCAAAACTCGAGTTGGAATAGTAAGGCTCTCAATTCCCTTTTTTGCTCCGTCACACCTGAAGAATTTCGTCGTATTTGCACATGTGATGTGGCAAAAGAGGCTTGGGACATTCTTGAAATGATTCACGAAGGTACTACTTCTGTCAAAAGGTCAAAACTTCAATGTCTCACCTCCGCCTTTGAAACTCTTTTTATGCGTGATGGTGAGACGTTTGATGATTTCTATGCAAAACTTAGTGACATCATGAATTCCTATTTCACACCCGGTGAAAAAATCCTTGAAGCTAAAGTTGTTGGAAAATTTTTGAGGTCTTTACCTGAGAGGTTCCAATCAAAAGTGACAGTTATTGAGGAGGCTCAGAATGTTGATACCCTCAAGCTTGATCAGTTGGTTGGAAACTTGCAGACTTATGAAGCCCATTAGATTTCAAAGAAAAAACAAAAAGATAGTGTGGCTTTCACTAGTGCTCATGAGACTGCAAAAACTTCGGAGACTGAGTTTGATTTAAAGTTTGAGATGGCGGCTATGTTTTCTAAACAGTTTAAAAATTTTCTGAAGAAAAAGAAGCCTAATTTCAGAGACCCTATTTCAAAAGACAAGAGTAATGAAACAAAACTTTTCCACCACAACTTGCTCCAAAAACTGAAAAGAAGATCGTAAAGGGGCAAAGGGTCAAGTGCTATGAATGTCAAGGGTTTGGCCATATTGCCCTTGAATGTCCTTCGAAAAAGAATCGAAAGAAAGTCTACACAGTGACTTGGGATGATGAAAGCGGGTCGGAGCAAGAACCCGAAGAACCTGAATCCGGTGAAGACGGGGATAGTGCTTTCATGGCATTTTGGTCCACTTTCACTCAACCTCTTCCAAAGCCAGCGAAATTAGCTCATGGTCAGAACCTGCATCAGGTTCCCACCTTTGATGGGAGTAACTACTTGTATTGGAAGATTAGAATGAGGGCGTTTCTGAGAGCTTTCGATCCAGAAGGCTGGCAAACCATTGAAGAGGATGTTGAAAGTGTTGACAATCCAAGCAATTAGAGAGTTCTGACTACTATTCATGGAGCAATTTCTGATGAAGAACAGCAACGGGTTGCTCACTGCACAAAGGCTAAAGATGCATGGGAAATTTTGAGCCAATTTCATGAAAGAGGAGATTCATCTTCACCGCCATCTATCACCTTTCCTACCTTAGTTGCTAGACTGGATGAGGTCAAGGAGAATGAGGAACAAAAAGAAGATGATGAAACATCAGAAGACAATGATGAGATTAATGGTGATGAACTACAACAAGCTTACGAAAAGCTTTACGAGGAATCTCTGAATTTGTCCAAAATCAATGACAAACTCTCTCTTAAGCTCAAAGCATGTGAAGTGAGAATGTCAAGTTAAAAGGAGAACTTGCAACAGCAAAGCAGAATGTCATAGAGATCTCTAGTGACAAGCAAGACCTATGTGGGAAACTCCTATCTTGTGAAACTAAAAAGAATGAACTCCTGAAAGTGTATTCTACATATGAAGAGAAGCTTGAAAGTCTTGAGATGTCACAAGCTACAATTGAAGAGTTAGTTTGTCAGAAAGATGAACAACTCCGAATTGCTAGAGCCAAAATTGCCATGTGGAACAAAGGTTCCAAATCATTAGAAGACATCCCCGGGTCTCAACAAATGGGTTGTGACAAAAGTGGGTTAGGCTATGGTGCAACAGCTCACAAGGGACAGGCCTCTACATCACATGACCTGAAGACTCAAGCAAAGGGAACGTTGAAGGTAGACCAGGGTGATCCCTCTCTTCATCCACCTAAAGGGGGTAAAATCAACAAAAGGGAGGTAAAACCTGTTTTTATTTGTCATCACTATGGTAGGTATGGCCACATTCGTCCATATTGCTTTGAATTGTTTGGTAAGGTGTCTCAAAAGGGTAGAAATTCAAATACTTTTTGGGCTAGGAAAAGACAACCTTACATGTCTAGGCGAATACCAAGATTCATGAGGGTGTTTCAAAGCCAAGACATTTACAAGACCATAAGACCTGATTTTGTTAAGACCAAAAAGATTTGGGTGAGAAAAGATGATTTGACCTGTTTAGTTGTTCACACTGCTCTAAAAGCACGTGACTCACACATGTGGTATCTTGATAGTGGGTGCTCTCGTTACATGTCTGGTAACAAATCCTACTTCACCTCTCTTGAAAAATATGAAGGTGGAATTGTTTACCTTTGGAGATGGTGGGCATTTATAGAGAGTCATTGGTAAAGGGGCTCTATAATGTACCTGGTCTTCCCAAGCTTTGAAAAATGCTCTTCTTGTTGATGGTCTTAAAGCAAATCTTTTGAGCATTAGTCAAATGTGTGATTCCCATCGTGAAGTATTGTTTTCAAAAAATAAATGTGAAATTTTGGATAAAAAGGGAAATATTGTCTTACATGGGGTTCGCACATCTGATAAATGCTATGGGATTGTTACTACTAATGATCTCATTCACTCAGCCATCATAAGTAACATTGATTTGTGGCATCAAAGATTAGGTCACATGAATTTCAAAGGCCTAACTAAGATAGCCAACAAAGAGCTTGTGAGAGGAGTACCTAAATTGGGTAAGAATCTGAATCATGTGTGTCGACCATGTCAACTTGGGAAACAAACCCGTGCCCCTTATAAAAAGGTGAACAACTTTACAACCAAACGCCCTCTTGAATTGGTTCACATGGATTTAATGGGTCCTACTCGCACTGAAAGCATCAGAGGTAAAAGATATATTTTTTTTAACTGTTGATGATTTTACTCGATTTTCGTGGGTAAATTTTTTATGGGAAAAATCTGATACGTTTGATGTTTTCCAAGCTCTAGTCCTTAAAATCCAAAATGAACAGGGTGCTTCCATTGGGCGTATCATAAGAATCCGAACTGATTATGGTCGTGAGTTTGAA